AAGCTACCTCTTTCTTTCTTTTGTTTTTCCTAAAAGAAAAAAGATTTGAAATTTTTGCGGGAAGTCTAAGGAAGGTTTCGGTTGGGCAAGGTACATCCTTAACTAACCAACGTCTGTTATCTTTCCCACCAAAAACCCAAGAAGAAGAGTGCAGCTGTCTCTCTTTTATAATCTGTAGTCCCCAAATAAAGGCCCTACAAGCTTGCCTTATAAAATGGGCCTCAACGTTTGAATTGGCCATTATGATTAAGAATGATGGTCATAAGTCACAGAGGCAACAACATGGTGAATTTGTCACACGTTTATGAAAGAATCGGCAACGTTCTGTCTTTCTAGTTTCTACTTTGGAATATATAAGCAGAAAGAAAAATGAAAGATACTATAAATCGGATAGAAAAATTTAACTTCAAATTTTGTGGGAATTGCTCAATTAACTCATTACATAAATGGCTTCGAACCTGCAGAATCAATGGGTAAAATGTTCTTAAGTTAATATAGAATCCATAATTACAGCTTTAAATTCTTAAGAAAAATGGCCTTTTCAATTATATTTGGATAAACATTTTCTTCATAAACACCAATATCAATATGGAGTTCACAATTTTGTGTTTAAGACATACCAACAAAAACTCCAAAAACAAAACAAATAACAGGCGATCCCAGCAGTGACATGATAGAGAGTTGCAGACTAGCATCTGATTTCCCAACTTAACACAAGTAGAAAACATCTACAAATCATGGGATACAGGGGTGAACGAACCCTTAAAAGTGCATCAAGCTGATTATGGCGATCAAGGATTGCATCAAGCTGATTTTGGCGATCAAGGATTGCATCGTTCAAGGCACAAAATGCAAAGAGTAGACAAGTTTTCCTAGAGCCAGAATGAGTTTGCCACACGAGACTATAAGCTTCTATATTCAATGATACCGCAGCTTTAATCTAGGCAACAGAATAGACCTTTACCACCTTAGTTGTATCACAAACAACTAGGTTTTCCATATCAGCCGGAGTAGTACAGAGCCAATTGACCTGCAAAGGCATTAACTCCATGATCAGAAGCTTCACATAAAATGACATGGAAACAAGCAAGAAACTGAAGTTCAAGCAGTGGTGGTGAAGATGCAACGATAACTCACTTTTTTGCTGAGGTTGATATTCAAATGTAGAAGATCACTGCTGCTGATTGTCTGTCCCGCATCAAGACACTTGGTCCAATCCCAGACCTTTACCAACTTATCATTTCCACCTGAAATTATAAATCTTCCTCTATCCCCAAACAACGAAAATGCCCTGAAAAATACATACTAGTCAATAAATGAATTAAGTTTCCTTGCACTGCATTTAAGTCTATTAGACTATTACTCACACACAAGAGACTGCAGCAGTATGACCGCCTGATGAGTAATCCAAATGCAACCTTTTCCATCCATTTTGATCTGGGATTTCCTTTTCTTTTGATCTTGATTGAGATCCTTTCTGAGGTTTTCTAGAACCTTTTGACCTCATGGTAGCAAGTTCAGCTTCTATATTAATCACATCAACTGCACCATCACCCCTAGCCACAACACAAACCTTGTCTGATTTGTCTAACATATCAATTTCTGGAACTGCTATTGCGTGAACAAAAGCAGGATTGAAACACTGTTCCTTGCCATCACCATTATTTGCGTCAGACAAGCCTGCAGTGAAGAATAGAAAGCAAGATTTGTACAGAAGATCAATCCAACCACTGAACCACATTGATTTTCATCTGTTCTTATAAAAGATAAAATCATCAAATGGTCATCTTTTTAGGAGCAAAGTAAAGTGCATCAACATGTCGAGAGGATTGAGAGGCTTTGGTTCTAACTTTCATGTTAAATTATTGTGTGCACAGCCTGTCCAATCACCTGCAGCTGCAAAGATGCATGCATTTTTTTGCCCTAGATACGTATATGCATGCATGCACGTGCATGCGTGGCTCTATACACCTTGAACCTTCGATTACTCAAGGTCAAAGTTTCTCCTAGCCTACCACAAGCTTATCAGTTCCTGCTCTATCTCCAACTTCGTAGACCACACACTTCACACCTGGTTATATGGCCTAAACATATTCATAATGCTACGGGACAGAGATCTACTCTTATGTATCTTATAGACCAGAAAATCAATAAAAAAATTTCTACAAAGGTTCTCCAGTACTTGAAAGAGTATGAAATAAAAATAAAACATATTTTGCCCCAAGCAATGCAAAGTGGCAAACTCTGTAGGTAAGGAATTCATGTTCCAATGAATTGCTGAAGTGGAAACAATTCCAACTTTGATTAAATGTAATAAGAGCTATGAAAAGCAACCAATATGCAGAGAAAGTTATAGATTACAAAAGATAGATGCTTTACCAAAATTCATAATTTTGTTAGGGCGCCCCTTGGAAAAATCCCACATCACAAGCTTTGAATCAAGACCTCCAGTGATAACTGCCCAAGATACCCCAAGACAGAAGTTGGCAGTCAATTATCTGTGAGTAGAAAGAGATAAACGTTTTACTGGATTCTTCAAGAAACTCACACTGATATGACATCTATGCTCTATGTACCTTGTTCAAGTATATCCTAAAGATACCCAACAGTGGACTCACAATACAGCTAAGATTTGTATATGTTAGCACATAATCAAAACATGATAAGAGACACTCAAAGCTTCGTTGAAATTACCATGATAGATGAAAAATGCTTAACATGAAGGGATGGCCTTCGTTTTAGAATGTGCCAACTAATATTCAATGATTTCAACATGCTGAATTGATATATTTCAGGCATATTTTAAACCAGGAACCATCAGCACAATTGATGGTAGAGAGAGAGAGAGAGAGAGAGAGGGCAAGGAAAATCTTATAGATATACCTTCCCACGGTCTCCAAGGAAGAAATTGCACGCTGCTACAAATCTGTGTGTAGTATATAGTTAAGGTGACGGAAATAGAAGGGAAGGATAGCAAAGAATTCAAGGGAAAGGATCATGCTTGGAAGGAAGCAATTGGAATTTAACAAAATAAAGAAGGAAAATAAAAAGATATGCAGCAGAGTATTTTGTTGATAGCCAACCATGAGTCACATAATTTGAAGAAGAACAAAAAGGGAAGTGCTTAAATGATTAAAAATAAAAAATAAAAAAAAGGATACACTTGTATGGCCAGCTCTTAATGTTTTGTAAATGCGTTTCTGACAAATGTCAATAATCTGCCACAGTGATTACAGTCAGCAGCTGAAATTACAAACTACATACATTATGAGATAGATAACAGATTATATATGAACTGCAAAAACTGCAAAATGGGTAATAAGGAGTGACCTTAATTTCACCGCCATCATCCGTAGCAGCAAGAAAAGAAGACTTAGAGTTGCATGCAATCTACATAGAGTAGACAAACATACATGCAGATAAGCTCCAGAAAATGGGTAGCTAAGTTTAAGTTAATTAAGCAATCAAAACCAAGTCTACCTGAATACTGATACCTGATTTATCTCCTCTTTATTATAATCATAACTCTCCAATGGCTTCCATGAGCAAGAACTCCCCTTCAAAATGGAAAAAAAAAAAAAAAAAACTTTATAAGCATTGAACAAGTAAAAATATAAAAAACACTCAAACAGAGAGAGGAGAGAGAGGAGAGAGAGGAGATGATTACCAGACGCACATCAAAGCTCTTGACTTGCTTCTCAGATGAAACAAATATCATATTTTCATTTCCTGAGCCAACCCACAAAATTCAATTTGCAAACTTTTCATTCTAAACATATATGTGAAACATAATCATATATATCATTACCTGGCCTGAAACATAATGATGAAACGGGTTCCTCTCCCACCTCCATAATATCTATCACATCTTTGCATCGCATATCAAACCAGCAAACGCAGCCATCCTGAATATACAACATGAACACCAAGCTCTATTTAATTTCAACACGAAAGTACCCAATTTTCCATAAAATGTAAACAAACCATAATTTTGATTTTTTTCAAATTTCCTCCATAACCATACCTCTCCGGCAGTGGCGACGAGGCCAGGGGTAGCAACAGAGGCGATGCAACACGTGGCAGTGGCCTTGTGGCCCCTCAGCCGCCTTGGTTTTAGGTCCGTCATCTCCTCCTTCACCCTTCCTCACTCTCTTCGTTTTGGTCTTTCGTCATCAGACATGTTGTACGCAGAGAAGTTGGATTGGTGGGTGGCGGCGATTCTCTTTAGGTCGGGTTTGGTTTACCGCCAAATCAAGCCCAGTCCAATATATACTTGGGCCCAGCCCAGAGGTAATATCAGGGCAACCTCAAGTCTTCTTCTTTTTCCTCTTCTAAATACACCCAACAATTTGATCAGTGCATCCAATACTCAAGAGAAAACCTCTAAGAGAAATGCTAGCAACCTTCTCTCTAACCTTCTCCTTTGGACCTTCTCCCCTCTTTGCTTGACATGTGTCATTCTCTCTACACTTAAAACAATGCCATGAATATATTATACAAGCTAACTTTTGCTTTCCAAGTTTACCCTTATTACATGTATTCAATTTATCCAAAAAAAAATCTCAACTTTTTTACCATCTTATTATTTTATTTTTTTTATAAAGAAAATATCTGTTTTTATAAAAAAAAAAAGAGAGGAAATGTCCCCTTTTTTTTAACGTCAAGTTTAGACTTTTTATAAAAAAAAATCTAAACCCTTTGTGTTGTATAAATAAAATAAAAAAAGGGACATTTCCTCTTTTAAGAAAAAAAGCACATATTTTCTTTAAAAAAATAATTTACGTTAAAAAAAGATTAATAAGATGGTAAGAAAGTTGTGAAATTTTTTTGGATAAATTGAATACATGTAATAAGGGTAAACTCGGAAAGCAAAAGTTAGCATGTATAATATATTAAGAATACTGCTAAACGAACTCTAAAATTAACTGAGTACACCCTATGATCTAAGTACACCCTAATATTTAAATCAAAATATAAAATTAACTAAGTTTACCCTATTTAACTTCCAAAAATACCCCCATTACATCCTAATACACCATTATAAAACTTAAAACAGCTTTGTTTATATATATATACACTCAAATATGCTTTTTGTATGCATTGGTGCAGAATGATGGAGTCCTGAAGATGAGGAAACTGGAAAAAACTTGTTCTGAAGGCTATTGAAGAATCGGGCATAGCATATGATGAAGCCAAACTCAGTGATACAGTGATCTGCTTGATCACAAGGTTTGCCTATCCAATGTTTATTTAGTACCTTCAATTAAATGGTATCTATTGATCTTGACTCCACCTTTACATTATTATTTTTAATCATATTACTTGTTTGGTGCCAGATCAATTCAAGCTCCATATTTAAAGTTGAGAACAAGCATAAGCATGTTGATTTGGAGGCCAAGGATTAAAATACAGTGTGAAGTGGAGTAACTGGGAATCACACTGTAGTGTCACCTTTAAATTTGCAGCATTGTTGGCCTTGGTTGGCTGGAACCTCATTCAAATTCAGAATCAAATGCAGATGGTTGGCTGGAACCTTTTTTTGTATGCGGAGTCACAAGTCTAGGACTCATATTTGTTCTTCTGTTTGAAAATTTTTCAGAAGAAATATCATCATTATCATTAATTCTACAATTCTATATGAATCAGACAGACATTGTGATGGTTGTCTCATAGTACAAGATCCATTCTTAACTTACCTATTTCTGGACACATTTATTAATCCAACTTGGCTTTATGGTTGGTCCCTCCCTAATCATTCATTTATTATTATTATTAAGGTTAACAAACAAACCCAAAAAAAAAAAAATCCAATTTGGTTGAACATGGTGAGTAGTGTGTACTTCTTATTTTTTTAGGGTAGGGTGTACTTATTAAAATTACATTTGTTTCACAATTCAATATATCCATTTTGGTCATTTTATATCAGGGTAAATTAGTAATTCAATAAATAGTTTGATAGTAGGGTGTACTCAGTTAATTTTAGGGTTCATTTAGCAGCACTCTATATTAATGGCTTTTATAAAGAAAATATCTGTTTTTTTTATAAAAAAAAAAGAGGAAATGTCCCTTTTTTTTTTAACATCAAGTTTAGACTTTTTATAAAAAAAATCTAAACCCTTTGTGTTTTATAAATAAATAAATAAAAAGGGACATTTCCTCTTTTAAGAAAAAAAACACATATTTTCTTTAAAAAAATAATTTACGTTAAAAAAAGATTAATAAGATGGTAAGAAAGTTATGAATTTTTTTTGGATAAATTGAATACATGTAATAAGGGTAAACTCGAAAAGCAAAAGTTAGCATGTATAATATATTAATGACATTTGTTTTAAGTATAGAGAGAATGACACATGTCAAACAAAGAGGGGAGAAGGTCTAAAGGAGAAGGTTAGAGAGAAGGTTGCTAGCATTCCCTAAAACTGATAAAAACAAAAAATTTAACTTTGATTGACAAGTTGCAGATGGTTGATGGATTATGTTCTGCCTTTATTCACTTCTGCCAAAAGTTTAAAGCAGAAAGTTGCATTTTTTTTTATTGGACGACATGGGCTGCACTGCAGTAGAATAGTCAGCCTAGCTATAGGGATAGATAGTCAATGGGTCTATTATATGCATGTGAACCCCTCTGGTTTTTTCTGAACACTTACTTGCATAAGTTGACATGACACAAAACTTTCCCTGTGAGTTCTTATTTTGGATTTTTTTGGTACTGAAGTTTCCCAGCAATGGGTTTTTTTCTGCTAAATAAGCGAAGCTTTGGTTTGTCATTCAACATTTTGCAAGGTGCACATAGCGGAGACTACACAGAACTAGGAGGAAGCTGACCCTGAAAGTTCCTAACTTGCCTTCACATTTCAACTTCATGTAGAGTCATCTGACACATATTAAATTGACATAATTAAAGAATGAAATCCGAAAAACAGAGAAGAAGAGGAAACAGCAAAATGCTTTATTCAGTTGGAATTAAATTAAAATACCATTAATCAGAATCAGATATCAGATCATTACATTGTCAAGGGCATGCCAAGATCAAACAACAGAATTAGTCGCATATGTGAGAGAGAGAGAGAGAGAGAGAGAGAGAGAGAAGCAAAGGTGAGATTAGTGTTCTTCAGGTCTATAATTAGACAATCCTAGAAGCTGGTTAATTTCATCTGACAGTGCATGCAACAGCATAAGCCCATGACTTGAGATGCTCTTTCATGGCCATATTATCACTGATTGAAGGCATTGTATTGTTCTGACATTGTTGATTATACCCACAATTTCCCTCAACCATCCAATTAGAGGACGACCAAGACCCAGAAATCACCTCCTTCACATGATCATCCAAACCCAACTCATCAAGCTCTCCAAGAATCTTTCTCCTGTGTCTCTGCTGCTGCACACTTCTCTTGCTCCTCCTCCTCCTCCTCCTACTCTTTTCCTTCTCTGTTGACCTTGGACTTGGAGAATAATAATATTCCACCACTTCCATATCAAGCTTCAAACTTTCTGGTTCTTCACATTTTGGGCACAATGGAACTGACATTTGAGCCTCTGGTGGGGAGTTTTTCTGCTGATTTTGAGCAATTGGTGACATGGGTTTGGAGCACTCTTCCTTGACAGGTTCTTCAACAGGCTCAATTGGACCCAAAATTGTAGCTCTTGAAGAGATGAAGACATTGCTGAAAAACCAGAGAGAGTCCATGGTCTCCTCCATGACCCGTGAACCGTCCATGAAGAAGAACAACAACACTGGGTCAAGGAAGGAGCAGACTGCAGAGCTTTGTACTTGGCGACTGCAGCTTCTATTTGGAAGGACCCTCCCTCGTGAGTCTTTTCGGCAAAGCAAATATTCTCTCATTCTATGTCATATCATATTACTAAACTAGCCTTCCACACCTACGAGATTCTGTGAAGAATCTTAAGGGTAATTCGGTCTGGGAGCAAAAAAACAGTGGGCAGTAGACAGTGGGCGGCGTGTTTACGTTGGGATACTGCGACGGGCCCAGTCAATGAGTACCCAACGGTCCAAAAACAACGTGAAAGCGATATGATTACTTTATATAATTTAATTTCGACGATTTCTTTTTGGGAAAATCTAAAATACTAAAGTGTATTGGAACTTTTAGCAAAATTTTGTTTATTGATTGACCTTTGAGTTTTCACAACGTATACTATCGATCCCATACCACATTAGGATGTAGGAAATTGTGTTCATGCAGGTGATGCCTCATTAATAATTAATTGCGTACAATTAATCAATTAGTCAATTGCTTTGCTATGGAGTTTATTTGTGTTTAACTCTTTTAATGAGCTAGCTCCTCAAAATTTGTCATGTGTACGAGTGTAAGCACGATACCTTTTTTTGAAAAATCGATACTTTAATTATTCTGTAGAAGGAGGAGAATTGAACTTGAGCGTAAAGAAAGGATTACACTATCTTTGTCAATTAGTCTCTCAAGTAGACCTGTAAACGGGTTGGATTCGGATCGGATATACCTCAATCCAAATTTGAATTCATTTATAATCGGATTATCATATTCGAATTGTATTCAAACTATCGAATTGCACCTATCAATTCATATCTGTTGCACATCGAATTCAGATTATTATCGGATTTTTTTTAGATGTACAAAAAATCAAATTTTCATTAGAAGCCTCGTTCTTTTATTGTATTTATCTACTTTTTTTTAATATCAAATTTTGATATTTTATCATAAAAATTAGTTTTAAGTGTAATCTTAGTGCATCATTTACACATATAAAATATTAATATAAAGCATAGAAAAACGAAATTATACTTCATACTAAGTCGGATCGGATTAACTATACTCCATATTCGAATCCATATAATCGGATTATCGATTCGGATTGTAATCAGATTATTAGATTGAGAAGTTCAATTCATCTCCTATTAATTACATCGAATTCAAATTAGATTCGGATCAAAATCCAATCCATTAACAGATCTACTCTCAAGCAATGAAACTTTGTGTGGATTTTATATTTCCTTCCCACTCTTGTGGTGTGCAACCCATAACTGACATTGTTTGCTTCACTTCCAAATAGGCAAAAAGACTTACATGTAATGGGGATAACACTATTTTGTTATTTCCAACCAATAACACAACACATGGAAAACTTATCCATATGTCATTGCGTTATTGACTTGGAATAGCAGGTGTTATCCCCCGTCAATGAGAGTTTCTCTCCCAAATAAGCCAAGCAATAACATTACGTC